CGAGGCTAGCGCTCTACCACTTGAGCCACAGCACCACTTCCGTTTTTTTTTCTTTTTGCTTATGTGGTGCTGAGGAATCGAACCCAGGGCCTCTGGCATGCAAGGCATGCGCTCTACCACTGAGCCACCTTCCCAGCCCCTAACCCCAACTTTTGATTAGAATGTTGAGTCCATTGACATGTAATGTTAATATTGAGAAAGATACCATATTTCCTGTCATTTTGTTGTGTTTTTAAATGCTTGCTTCTTTCCTCTTTGCTAATCTACTCTTCTAGTAGGGTTCATTCCCGTATATAAGGATACTTAAGTAGAATGTTATGTAGATACTTAAATGCTGATTTAGTAGTCATGGATTCCTTTAGCTTTTATCTCAGAAGGCTTTTATTTCTCCATCAATTCTGACAGATAGCTTATCTTTCAGGGCTTGAATTATGTTTTTCCGTGCCTACGTTGCATTTAATGTCTGGGTCAGGAAATCTACTGTTGTTACAATGGCTTTTCCATTGTAAGTTACTTACCTCCTCTCTTTTGAGGCTTTTTATTTTATTACATATATTTAGTATTTTTACCATAAAATATGTAGTGTGTTTCTTTTCTGATCTGGCCTGTTTGGAGTTTTGTCTCTGTACATGGGTTGGAGAAGTTTCTTCCATTATTTGTTGAAGAGGCTCTCAATGTCTTTAGTTTTCTTGTTTCTAGTCTATCTCTATTATTCAAGTTAGGATATGGTCTGGGAGGGTGCATCTGTCAACAAATAGTCAATTTCAGTGCTCAGGACACTGTGTATGAGGATTTTTTCTATTCAGGATGAGGAAGTTTCATTCCAAGGTTATTGACAGAGGTAAACTATGGTCTTAGGTTTGTGTTAATTTCTAAAAGACAAGTCACTGCTACCACTCCAATCTCTTTGAATGACTATGGTTCCAAGGTATATCTTCATGCTCCAGAAAAACCTTCCTTAATCAAGGTGATAGAAATAAAAGATAGTCCTATTGGAATACATGCTATTCCAATACTAAGTTGTATGGCTAAGGTTAGTGGACAGTGGGGTGAGGTAAGCAGAAAAAAAAATAGTTAATGCCAGGTGTCTACGGCTCATGTCTCTCAGGAGGCTGAGATCTTAGGACTGTGAAGCCAACTAGGGCAGGAACATCTATGAGACTCATCTCCAATTAACCACCAAACACTCGGAATTGGAGCTGTGGCTCAAATGGCAGAGTGCTAGTCTTGAGCAAAAAAGCTCAGAGATAGTGCCTAGGCCCTGAGTTCAGGTGACAGACTGATAGACAGATAGACAGACAGACAGACAGACACACACACACACACACACACACACACACACACACATCAGTTAATACTGTGTTGGGTAAGGGAATGGTGAAGATAAAGTGAGGAGAGATGTATATGTAAATATATACACACAAATTAGACAACATCTATGATCAAAGAGAAAAAATAAGAGAAATACAGAGACAAATAAAAAATAACAGAAAGCAAAAATGTAAAATGAACAGAACAAAAATGATGTTCAGGTAGTTTATTTACCAGGTATGAAAGTTTAGGTATTGAGGGAGACTGAAGAGTAGGAAAACAGGGGTAGAAGCGAATATGAATAAATAAGAATTCCACTTAATTATATAGAAAATATAAATGAGGTGGGCTATAGGAAGGGTATATAACTGTGATTCAATAGAGATCACTAAAGACAAGTAATAAAGTTCAGATATTATGGTTTGGAGTAAGAAGAAGAGGGAGAAGCAAACTACAAGATTAAATGGAATAGGGTAACAAGTCTATTTTAGAATGTTTAGATTAATAAGGAAATGGCTTTTACCTAATTTACAGAAAAGAAAAAACATATACTTAAACAAGTACAACACTCAAAACACTTGAACTAATACAGGAACAAAGACAGATATAACAAATATGACTTTTGACTGTTCTTATGTGTCTATATATATTTCTTTTCTTTTTTTTTTGGGGGGTCCGGTCCTGGGGCCTGAACTCTGGGCCCAGGCGCTGTCTCTCAGCTCTTCAGCTCAAGGCTATTGCTCTACCACTTGAGCCACAGCACCACTTCTGGCATTTTCTTAATCTTTATGTGGTGCTGAGGAATTGAACCCAGGGCCTCATACATGCAAGGCAAGTGCTTTACCACTGAGCCACCTTCTCAGCTATATATGTTTATTTATTTAAAGACTTCTTTCCAAGTCGCAAAAGGCTGTTTCAGGCCCAGGTGTGTTGTTGCTTCCCTCAGAAGACCTTACAAGGGCAAAGGGCTTCAGAGCTGATAGTTGATGCCTCCGTTTGGCTCAGCAGAGAGTCCCAAGGCTGCTTACCCGCCAGACTTGGGACAGCTGTTAACCTAGTGGTAGACTATGCCTTTTTGTTGAGCTGCCATGGTTTGGTGGCACATTCCATATGTGCACTGAGTTTCTGAGCATTTGGTGAGATGGGACCTACACTATCAATCAGGTATCTCTGCTCTCTAGCTAGATGGGTATTCCTAATCCTGTCCCCTGATACTGCAGCCACTGGCCTCTTGTAGCCTCTGGCTTCCTGGCTGCAGACTAGCTTCCCGAAGCTTAAACTTTTGCTGTTCTCTGCCTTGTCTGTCTTCCCTTCCCACTTCTCTTCTATCTGATTAGCACCATGTTCTATGGTAAAATCACCAGTGGGTTGCTAATATGTAATTGCTTCTTTACCCTGAGATCCCAGAAAAACTTTCTCAAGATGGTGACTCTTTATCCTCATCTAGAATAAAGGGAACACAGAACATCTTAGTTTCTGTGGCCTAGTCTCTCACAACAGATTACTCTCAGCTTTCCAAAGCCCTGAACTGTTAAGGTTTCCAAGTTATGTTTTCCCCCCAAACTGAATCTGGTAATCCCTTGGCAGGACCATCTAAGTTTATCCAGTGTGTTCCTGTCCTAACTCCCCATCCCCAGATGGAAGAGCCAGTACTGCTTTCAAACTCCTCTACTTCTGCTTTGATTGCTTCTCTGTAATTTGCTGGGTCCCCACAAACTCCTTGTAGTTCCTTTCTCCTGCCTCAGAATTTGGTCATTTTGAGTTACTGGACTCTCCTCATCCACGGATTGAAAGTGGTAAATGATTTCAATTGAGCACCTTCTCTCTTCTCCTCTCTTCCTCTCCTTGCTCTTCCTTCCTTTCTGTCTCTGATTGGATCTTATTACTGAGTCCAAGCTAATCCTGAACTCTTGATCCTGTGGTGTCAGCCTCCTAAGTGCTGAGATTACAAGTATAAACCCAGCAGGGGCTGGGAAGGTAGCTCAGTGGTAGAGTGCTTGCCTTGCATGCATGAGGCCCTGGGTTCGATTCCTCAGTACCACATAAGCAGAAAAAGCTGGAAGTGGCGCTGTGGCTCAAGTAGTAGGGTGCTAGCCTTGAGCTAAAGAGCTGAGGGACAGCACCCAGGCCCAGAGTTCAGGCCCTACGACTGGCAAAAAAACAAAAAAACAAAAAACAAAAAACCAGCAGGGCTCATTTCTCCCCAAGTCCCCCCAAATGCTCCCCACCCCGCAGTACCAAGGCTAGAACTCAAGGCCTCATGCTCTTGCTTGGCTTTCTTGCTCACAGCTGGTGCTTTAACACTTGAGCCATACCTCCTGTCTAGCTTTTCGCTGATCAATTGGAGATGGCATCTCTAGAGCTTTTCTGCCTAGCCTGACTTTGAATCACCATGGTCCTCCTTGTATTGGCCTCCTACATAGCTAGGGTTATAAGCGTAAGCTACTAGTACTCAGTCTGGCAGTGTTCTTAGGTAAATCTCTGAAGATGCACAGAAGGCAGATAGGTCCTTTTCTTTTTGTGGTGCGGGAATCAAACTCAGTTCTCATAAGCAAGTATGCTACCATCACTAAGCAACAACTACAACTCATCATTATTTTGGGGTGGGGTGCTGTCCTGGAGCTTGAACTCAGTGCCTGGGTGCTGTCCCTGAGCTTTCATGCTCAAGACTAGCACTCTACCACTTGAGCCACAACTTCTGGATTTCTGGTAACTAACTGGTGGTAAGAATCTAATGGTCTTTCTTGCTGGCTTCAGATCACAATCCTCAGATCTCAGGCTCCTAAGTAGCTGGGATTACAGGCATGAGCCACTAATGCCCAGCTCATCAGTTAGTATTTTGTATTTGATTTGCAAAAAATAGTTTATAAGATCAGTGTTGAAAACAACCTTCATAGATTCAGAATTTATGAGAAACAAATTTAAGTAGGCTGCAGAGTGCATACATAGGAAATAACACAGCCCCTACCTGGCCTCATTAGCCTCCTAGATAGATATGTATAGTGGGAAATGCAAAGACAACCAAGGAAGGTGGGTAATGGGGGAGGGGGAGAGTGAGCCACATAGCTCTGTTACCCAAATAGAAATGGGAATCCACTTCGCAGAAGGAAGTTACTCTGAGAAGGATCTTCTCTGCTGTTTTCACTTGTTAAGGAACTACCACTATTCATTTGGGCAGAAATGTAAATGAAAACCTAAGTCTAGATTCTGGCTTAGCCTTTTACTCCCCTGGTTCAATTTACCTCTGTCTCAAATTTGTCATGGGCAAGATGTCTGATACTGGAAAATAAAATATATGAATATGTACCAGTTGGCCAACATCTTATAAGCCTTAGTTTGTCCTCTTCTCTTTCTTCATAAGTTTCTTGTGATTCAAGAACCTAAAGGATGGGGCTGGGAAGGTGGCTCAGTGGTAGAGCGCTTGCCTTGCATGCCTGAGGCCCTGGGTTCAATTCCTCAGCACCATATAAGCAAAAAGAAAAAACCCGGAAGTGGCGCTGTGGCTCAAGTGGTAGAGCGCTAGTCTTGAGCTGAAGAGCTGAGGGACAGCGCCCAGGCCCAGAGTTCAGGCCCCATAACCGGACCCAAAAAAAAAAAAAAAAAGAACCTAGAGGATGTTACCCAAATCTGCCCAGAAAGGCGCAAATGTTTAGAAAATGTTGAGAGCTTTGACAGAGATTTTGGATATTTCTTTCATCTTTGTATTGTTATTATTTTAAAAGCCAGAGCTTATAAAAAAAATTAAAATGCCAGTGGCAAAATAAATTTGAGTGATGATTCTAATTATTCTGAAATCACAGTGTCTGGAATCAAATCACAGGGGCTTATTATACACATACTAATATTGCGCTATCCTTTTCTACTTTAGGCTGCTAAAGGTTGAAATTGGATTTTTAAGATCTATTTCCAAAGTAAGAAAATAGGATGAATTTTTACCTGCACCGAGGTTGGTTGGCAGGAAAGCAGCCAAGCCCACAATCTTAAATTTGGTTCCCCAGATATTGGATGTGACCTGAGCAAGATAACTGTGCTGTAGAAGAAAAAGGGAGAAGAAAGGAAGAATCTCAGTCTATTTACACATTTTCTATTGGTTACTTTGTAAAAAACATTAATATTTATTGCTTTAAAAATCCAAGGTGCCCTGTCAGAAATGTTAATACCTTCCATTTTTCTGTCACTTTTTTTTTTTTGGTGATACTGGGGTTTGAACCCTACCACTGGAGTCGTGTCCCATTTCCTTTCTGCTCTGGTTATTTTTAAATTATGACTTGCTATTTGCCCAATCCAGCTTGGATCACGACCCATCCAAATTTATGCTTTTTGCTGTAGCTACAATGATAAGGCACATATCACTATGTCTAGCCTTTTCTGTGGAGACAGGAGTCTCACAAACTTTTTTAGTTTAAAAAGTAGTTTAAAAAGGCCAACAAACTGGTCATGGCAGGATATGCCTATAATCCCAGATACTCAGGGGACTGAGACAAGTGGATCACTTGAGCCAATGAATTTAAATCTAGTCTGCACAACATAGTGAGATTCCTATCTCAAATAATTCAGCAAATAACTAGCTAGCTAAATAAAGTCAGATGTGATAGTCTATTGTCCAAATAATTGGGAGGCTGGGGCAGGAAGATCTCAATGTCTAGACCATCCTTGGCTACATAGTGGACTGTCTCAAATAAAATATATAAATTTTTAGAACATAAAAATATTTAAAAAGGAAAACATTTTTTAAAAATATAAAAAGGTTACCTCAGTGTTGAGCATATTTTTCTTCCCTTCTCCTTTCTCTCAACCACTAGAGATGTACCCTTGTTCTAAATCTACTTTTATCTGTGATATTTCTCTTGAAAACATCAGATACACTGATACCATTATAGTCCTTCAACTACTCAATTATCCTCTCAATTTAAAAAGTTACCATTATGTTCAAGGTGTATGTGAGAGCATATGGCATAAAGGGCAAAAAATATAGCTCCTCAAGCATCTTATAACCTAATGGAGAGATAAAGCCTTTAGTGATACCAGAGTCCTTGAGGAACATCAGGAGAGGGGAAGATACCAAATGTGCTACCACACTGGTGGCTGTGCCCAGGGCAGGAAGCCTTCACAATGGAGGTGACACTGAATTAGGTCTGGACATGGGAGCAGAAAGGAGGATAAGAAGGAGGACTGGATGACCTAACAAAGACATAGACAGGGCAAGGAAGAGGCAGTATCCAGGGATTTCAGTTGGCACTGGGTGGAGGTAGGCAGACCAAACTCTGGGGGTTATGACTAGGGTTGATGAGGGTTCTCTTCAGACACTAGGGAGTCTTCAGGAGGGTTATGGGGCAAAGGGGCATAAGGGGAAGAGCCAGGCAGCCTGCATACAAGCCTAGCAATAAGCAGTCCAGGCAAAAAGGGAAGAAAGATAGTGTTTCCAGACAGCTGATGGTTCTCACCCACACTGAGGTAACTCTGTCAGATGTATGCTACTACCTGAGTGATGTCTTCAAAAGGAAACTCTCTGCGCGTCAGGCTGGGTGAGCCGATGGAGGGCTTGCGCATCGGCAACCGAGGAGACCGGGAGATCTCCTGAGCAGCCCGGGGCAGCTTGGGAGACTTGCGGGCCTCAATGCTGATCCTGCAGAGACAAAGTCAGGAGGGGTCAGGTATGCACAGAGGGGTGCAGCTTAACCAGCATCTTCTTTCCCTCTAGATGGTCAGCAGTGGACATTGATTCTTGGTGGCCAGAGCCCTAATTTCATAAAGCTATGGCTCCCACTTCTGCTTTAACTTCTTGAGAAATGAATGACAACTACATTCGAAAAATATACACAGTACTTTAAAGTACATTGAGTTTAGATCACGTATCTTATTTTAGGAAACCTCATAGAATTAACTCTCATTTTCTAGTGACTTCCAGTAAGTCTAGAAATGCCAACATACTTTTTGCCAGGGGTTTGCACAATTAGTCTTGTGAAAAATGGCAGGAGAAAAGAATAATTTCTTATCCTAAGATCACTATGATTTTTTTTTGCGGGGGGGTCTGGTCATGGGGCCTGAACTCTGGGCCTGGGTGCTGTCCCTCAGCTCTTCACCTCAAGGCTAGCGCTCTACCACTTGAGTCACAGTGCTACTTCCGGCTTTTTTCTTTTTGCTTATGTAGTGCTGAGGAATCGAACCCAGGGCCTCAGACATGCAATGCAAGCGCTCTACCACTGAGCCACCTTCCCTGAGCCACCTTCCCAGCCCTCGCTATGATTTTTTAAAATTTGTTCTATATTAATTTGGATTTTAACAGATTTATCTAACACTTTACCATCTGCAATATTTAAGCCAAATCAGTACTAAAGCGTTTCTGATGTCTTTTGATCCTATGTTCCATTTATCCAATGTTCTTATTTATAACATAAGACATGTATTAATGTCAGTCCACACTGTTAAGCTTGATGAGAAACTCTGGGCTCCTGAATGGGAGGATGGGGGACTGAGCTAAGGCTAGGACCAGCAGCTTGACTGCTGGGGAAATGGGTATGATGTGGGAAAAGGAGGAGGAAGAGAGAGAGCCACAGAGAAGCAACAGTCTTAATAGGTCACCAGAAGGCAAAGATTTAACTGTGTACATGGAAAGTGCTCTCCCTATGTAAATAACAAAAAGCCAAAACAGCGTGAAAGTGTTGGAAAAAATCTAATTTTTCATGCAATTTTTCACAAGGTTTAGAATAAAGGTAAGAAAATCAGTCAATTACATTACTGGAGCAATTGGCTATCTATATGGAAAAGTATTTTACCCCTAATTTACACCATACCCAAAAATTAAGCTGGATATAAAGATAATCTGAAATATAGTGAGAAAGCTAAAGCTCTAGTTCTAAGAGAAGACTGCAGTCAAGGCCTTAGAGTATACAAAGATTTCCTAAACAGGTCACATAAGGCACTGAACATATTTCACATATTAGACTAACAAGTATATATGTATAACTGACAAAAGATTCTTTATTTTTTTGGTGAGTCATGAGGCTTGAACTCTGGCCTGGGCAATGTCCCTCAGCTCTTCAGCTCAAGGTTAGTGCTCTACCACTTGAACCACAGCACCACTTCCAGTTTTCTGGTGGTTTATTGGAGATAAGAGTCTCACAGATAGCCGGGCACTGGTGGCTCACACCTGTAATCCTAGCTACTCAGGAGGCCAAGATCTGAGGATCACAGTTCAAAACCAGCCCAGGCAGGAAACTCCGTGAGACTCTTATCTCCAATAAACTACTAGAAAACCGGAAGTGGCGCTGTGGTTCAAGCGGAAGAGCACTTGCCTTGAGCTGAAGAGCTGAGGGACAATGTCCAAGCCCAGAGTTCAAGCCTCAGGACGGACCGAAAAAAAAAAAGTGTCTCACATAATTTCCTGCCTGGGCTGGCTTTGAACCGTGAGCCTCAGATCTCAGCCTCCTGAGTAGCTAGGATTACAGGCCTAAGCCACTGACGCCAGTTGACAAAAGATATTAGTAGACTGCACACAAAAATTTTTACAACTCCATGAGAATAAAACAAAAAAAAAAAAAAGTAAAATAAATAAGGGCAGACACTTCACAGGAAACTAACCAAATGGTTAGTAAACATGTGAAAGGTGCCCAGCCTCATCAATCATCAGAGAGTAAAGTGGTACTAGGTATCACAACATATCCATCAGAATGAATAGACTATTTTATACACACAGACATAGTAGACACACACAAAGAGCCAGTATTAGGGTCCTTGGCTTGTTTGCTCAGTTTGCCCACTCTGCTGGCACCACTTCAGCCATGCCTCCAGCCTAGCTTTTTGCTAGTTATTTTGGAGTTAAGAGTCTCACACTCTTCTGCCTGGAGTGGTGGTGAACCACAATCCTCCAAATATCAGCCTTCTGAGATAGAGAAATCAATCCTAAAATGCATATTGAAATACAAATGGTGCTGAATAGCCAAAGCAAAATTGAGCAAAAAAAAAAAAGGCAAGGCTGAAGGTATCAGAATTTAGACCTACAATACTACAGAGCCAAAATAACAAAAACAGCATGTACTGGCACAAAAACAGAAGACCAATGGAACAGACTAGACCCAGAAATGAACCCAGACCCTACAGCAATCTAATTTCTGACAAGAAGCCAAAAATGTTGGGGAAAAATAAAAAGACAGACACTTCAACAAGTGGGGCTCAGAAAACTGGATGTTCATGTGCACAATACTGAAATTGGATCCCTGTCTTCACCCTGCACTAATTCAAAGTGAATTGAAGATTTTAAGACCTGAAACTTTGAAACTAATTACAGGAAATAATAGAAAAAATACTAAAACTTATTGGCATAGGCAGGAGCTTCCTGAATAAAACTTCAGTGGCTCAGAAAATAAGAGACAATTAACAAATGACCTTGTATCAAGCTAAAAATCAGTACAGCAAAGGATGTAGTAACTAAGCTGAAAAATCAGTCTACAGAATGGGACAGCTGTATATGTGACAAGGGTCTAATATGAAGAGTATATAGACAACCTAAAAATTATTCCCCCCACCTATAAATCTACAAGTAAACATACTGGATAGTAAAAGACAAAAAATTACACTTGGACATGATAAGTTACTCAGGTCTCTACACATTCACAGTGAGACCAAAGGAGTATATTCTTAGGAGAGGATCACAAAGGCTCAATAGCTATGTGCATATGATCATATAACATATTTATAGAAATAAACTCCAAGAAATGGAAACAAGAGGTTTTCTTTTGGACTTTGTTACTGTTTTTGTTTCTATAGCTTTTGTCTTGTTTGTAAGTTTATCTGTTTTGAGGAGGGTAAAGGGGCAGCACAGAAATGGTGAGGATCTATCTACTCTTTAATATCCACAGGTAAAAAAATTCTCATCTTCATCCAAGGTCATACAGCTGTGGTGACAGAGAATAGGAAGGTGGTGTTCTACCTTGGGTAATTCAGGTCCTTTTATCTTAGTTTTTTTGACTTTAGATAGTTATTAGGAACCATGTTTCTGGGTTTTTTTCTTTCTTTTTTGGTTGTTAAGTTTACTATTATGTCCTCAATTATACCATTATAGGTATTTTTCTTTTTTGGCAGTACTAGGGTTTGAATTTAGGGCCTTGCACTTGCTAAGCAGGTGATCTATTGCTTAAGTCACGCATGTAGCCTTCTAGGCATTTAAGTTGATGTTTTCTTCAACACATCTATATAAAGCCTTTCTGTTTCTTAAAGTGAAAACCAGGGAGCTTTAGCCAAAACTAGATTAGCTACTGTCCTTGCTAACACCCAAAGAAGGCCTGAGGGCTTAATAAACTTTCTACTAAGTGTCTTTCTACAAAGAAACTGTAATTATTCCAGGCAGAGTCTGCCAGAAGAAAGGGTGCTCTTTGAGGTAAGCCAAGAGCAAAGAGACAAATGGCGCACATGGTCTCCCTGATAAGTGGATGTTAAATCCAAAACGTAAGGTGATATGACAAAATCAACAAGGCTTAAGAAACAAAGGACTTCCACTCATCTGGTAGAATCACTACTAAATAACTCCATGCTGCTGATCACATATATGGTATATATGTGCACACCGGAGGGAAACCAGGAGGATGACACAGAACTAGAGGGAATCAGGGAAAAACATACAACAGTGGGACCCATCAGCTGCACTGGACATTGATCAAAGTGAACTCAATGGCAGCGATGGGAAAGAGGGAACACGTGGGAAAGAGGGAACAGCTGATGCTATGCAAAACCTATCACCCAATGTAGAAGAAATAACTGTATTGCAAAACTCATAGAACTCATAAATGTTATAGACCATGATAGACAATTTGCTCCATGAAAGTTAGAATGTGATTGTGACTTTAACTAAGCATCACTATCCCACAATACTGTGAAATTTGGAAAACTATGTAATCACTTAATCACCATAAAGAATTTGATTTTTTTTTGGGGGGGGGGGTCCAGTCGTGGGCTTGAACTCTGGGCCTGGGCGCTGTCCCTCAGCTCTTCAGCTCAAGGCTAGCGCTCTACCACTTGAGCCACAGCACCACTTCCGGCTTTTTTTTCTGCTTATGTGGTACTGAGGAATCGAACCTAGGGCCTCAGGCATGCAAGGCAAGCACTCTACCTCTGAGCCACCTTCCTAGCCCACCATAAAGAATTTGAAAAAAAAAAAAAGAAAGGGTACTCTTGATATCACACAAGGGGAGTTATTGTCCAGTTCTCTCTCTTTCCCTCCCTCTCTCCCTTTTATCTCATCTCTCCTTCTCTTCCTTCCTTCTAATATAACAAAATGTATTTGAGCAAGGAAAGGTTTTGGAACTGGCAGTATTCTGGGCTCAATTCCCTATTAGTGTCAGTTTTGATGGGAATCTATACAAAGACAGGTCAGAAGCACATAAAGGGAAATGACCCAAAGACTGGGATTACCTTGGGAGTTTGGGGGATTTGCTAGCTCTGGAAATTTTGGGAGATTTCTTGGCAGCCCAGTCATCACTCAGTTCAATGTCACTGGAGTCTGAACAGTTGCAGCTGTCAATCACAGTAGAAATCAAGCTGTTCCCATAGATCTCATCTGTAAGACACCAACAAGCAAACTTAAGGGAAGCTGTCAATTAAACTCTAAGAACAGTCACTGCTATAAATTAAAGGACAGACTAACTTTATAGTCAATCATTTTAACTTTAGAAGTTAAAATAGGAGCTCAGTAATATTTTTTCTTTTATGTTTTCATGCTATTTTCTAAATGAAAGTTGGCAATTTCATCTAGTGTTGTCAAAATAGCAAATCTTACTGATTACAGGAATGTAAAAAATAGTGCACTTTTTTTTTTTTTTTTTGGTAGGTCATGGGCCTGAACTTTGGGCCTGGGTGCTGTCCCTCAGCTCTTCAGCTCAAGGCTCGTGCTCTACCACTTGGGCCACAGTGCCACTTCTGGCTTTTTCTGCTTATGTGGTGCTGAGGAATCGAACCCAGGGCCTCAGGTATGCAAGGCAAGCACTCTACCAGTGAGCCACCTTCCCAGCCCTTGTACACTTTTTTCTATAACAAATCCTGACACACAAAAAGGCTTTCTGTTGTGCTTCATGACACACAGGTTCCATTTGTACTTGTATAGCTTTCAGGCAGCTGGGAGCAGCTGAGGGAAGGCTTGCTGCTTCTGACTTGGGAGGGCCATGGTTGGTCCAGGCCTGCTGGTACTCCAGTCCTGACAGCTGGGTCTGTGCAAGGTATTCTAGCAGTTCTTCTGGCACGCCACTGGAATTGTCAGAGGCTGGCCTGGGGGCCTGGCAATTGCACCTGGTGCCACTGTTTACCTGTAAAACCAGTGGCTTAAGAGAACACTGTGGGGTTGGAACTTTCAGTATTAACTCTAGGTTGTTCTGTGGGTATTTTGTATGAACTTTGCCAAATGGCTAATTAGGAGGAAGATTAGAAGGCCCAAGGCAGAAGATAACAGGATGTGCAGAGAGTGGACCAATGACACTGCAAGGTAGACAACAGTGATTTTCCGGAAATCTCTTGTTTCTTTTTGCCCTCCTTGCCATCATTTCCCAACTCTCTCAATCCCCAAAGTCCTGCCCCAAGTCTACCCTCAATGTGATTACCTCATTTTTCAGATTTCCTTTGTTTTGCTGACTAAAACTTCATTCTCTCAAGGCATCAAGATCCTTGCAAACCTCTAATAAAAAAAGTTGATTCATTCAATCACAATAAAATAATTCAGAGAATGTGAGTGATTTCACCATTTAAGATGGCTTTTGGCATTTTGAATAATGGGTTGGTTAGTACACCTCAGAGTTTCTGAACACATAGAGATGAATGTCTATGAACAGGGACTTCTCTAGGGACAAACCAGCTTCCTGCTACTTCAAAGGATGTTTCTTCTGGGTAATTTCATAAAACTCCTTCAATGACACAGTCTCTTCAGAATGTGTTTTCCTATATCTTGCAATAATGACATACTGAGACTTCAATCTTCACATTTTTGATTCTTTTCTTTCCTTCCCCTCCCTGCCTCCCTCCCTGCCTCCCTCCCTCCCTGCCTCCCTTCCTCCCTCTCTTCCTTCCTTCCTTTCTTCCTTCCCCCCTCCCTTCCTTCCCCCTTCCTTCTTTCCTTCCCCCCCCTCTTGCTTTTTGCCAGTTCTGAGGCTTGAACTCTGGGCCTGAGCACTATTCCTGAGCTTTTTTGTTCAAGGCTAGCATTCTACCACTTGAACCATAGCTGCATTTCTACTTTTTTTGGTGGTTAAGTGAAGAGTCTCATGGACTTTGCTGCCCAGGCTGGCTTCAAATTTCAGCCTGTTGAGTAGCTAGGATTACAGATGTGAGCCATCAGCACTGGCCCCATTTCCTTCCTTTTGTAATTAGGGGAACCAAGACACTCTGTCAACATTTTGCTTTATTAAAAAAATATATATTTTTTGGTCGGTCACAGGGCTTGAACTCTGGGCTTGGGCGCTGTCCCTGTGCTCTTCAGCTCGAGGCGAGCACTCTACCACTTGAGCCACAGTGCCACTTCTGGTTTTCAAGTGGTTTATTGGAGATAAGAGTTTCATGGAGTTTCCTGCCTAGGCTGGCGTTGAACTGTGATCCTCAGATCTCAGCCTCCTGAGTAGCTAGGATTACAGGCATGAGCCACCGGCGCCTGGCTTTAAAAATATTTTTAAATATTCAATTTGATCTCTTGACATTATATTCTCTCTTCCACACAATATCAGAACAAAGTTCAGCCACATTCTTTGCCACATTTTATCTATGTTTTCAACAATATGGACATTTTCATCTAATACCTTCTTTTCTTGGTAGTATTGAGATTTGACCTCAGGACCTTACATTTGCCAGACAAGTGCTCTACCAGTTGAGGCATACCCCCTTCTGGTTTTGTTTATTTATTTAATGCCTATGTTTAGGCTGGAATTCAGGCACTGGGCACTGTCCATCAGTTTATTTGCTTAAGGCTAGTGCTCTATTACTTGAGCCACAGCTCCACTTCCAGATTTTCCACAACCATTTAAGAACAAGATATCAGTCCTTCTAGCATGGAGTCTACCTGATTTGCCGTCTGTCCTCGGGTCCATGATGACAAACTCCGGCCGCAGCTTGCTGATGCGCCGCCCCTTGAGGATGGGCACAAGCCCACCCAGGTACTCTAGATAAAGTGTGTAGCATGGGCCGCCCACTTCTGGGTCATCCTCAGTGCGCTTCATGGTGCAGTGCAGACGCTCATTGCCCGCTGAAGGATAGCTGACAAAGTCTCGCATGTTGTTGGGGTCTGGAATTGGGGGCTAGAGGTAGGATATGGGCAGAAAAGGCAAAGCTGGGACTCCAGAGATACATATAGAGAAATAGAGGGCATAGAACAGGCTGGTTGTACAAAATCGCTATCACTTTGACAGAACAGAGGCTACTATCTTGGCAGGCTTAACTATATAGTATGAAACCCTGTTCACAACTGGATGCTTTTAAATAATGTCTAAGCCAGATCCCACCTTACAAGATTGAAGTACAATCTCTGGGTGGTCTGGGCATCTATTTTTCTCTACTACAACATAATATACCAGGATTGAGAATTGCTGATGTGGAATCAATACTGTGAGGCAATTTAGAAAAAAAAATCAGCTGGTATACTAAAACTCTGATATATTAGGAGACAATCAACAAACACTTTTAATACGTAAAAAGTAGGGACAGAGTACAGAAAAGGACTTAGGGTGAGGAAGGACTGAGGTTAAAGGGAAACCCAACCCAGGGCAGTAACTGGCAGGTCTGTTCTATATACTGCCATCACTAGCAGGCAGTTCCTGGAGTTACATACAGTCAAAGATGGCTTGCGCCAGGTGCTGGTGGCTCACATACAATCCTAGCTACTCAGGAGACTGAGATCTGAGGATCATGGCTTAAAGCCAGCCTAGGCAGGAAAGTCTGTGGGACTCTTATCTCTAATAAACTCCAAAAAAGGTGAAGTGGAGCTGTGGCTCAAGCAGTAGAGTGCTAATCTTGAGCAAAAGATGCTCAGGAACAGTGTCCAGGTCCTGAATTCAAGCTCCAGGACTGGCTAAAAAAAAAAAAAAAAAGGTGACTTGGAGCTACACTGTGAGCAGATTGCTTCTTCTTATGGAGAGGACAAGAGCAGGCCCAAGTATTGGAATGGGTCCAACCCTGACTAGTCTCCCAACTAGTTACTATAGAATAAGTTACTTCTATCAACTTGTTTTCCTGCTTTATCACATGAGAATAATGTCAGCATTTGCCAAGAAGTCAGGATTGAACCAACTCGGTTTGTAATAAGTACATGGTATAATAGCCAGTATATAGGAAGCCCTAAACAAATGTGTACTCTTTTTTTGATCATCAGGATGAAAACCTAGAATAAAACTGGCCACAGTGAAGCAAATTTCACTCAGACACTAATGGGAATGCTCAGAGTGGGCCGAAGGCTTAAAGAACGCGTGGGGCTCTGTCTAGCCATAAGTGGCCATCCGCAAGCACTCTGGTAGAGTGGCTGTCCCCACCACTTTGGGAGAGGAGCAGAGGAGACCTTTGTACTTTCTCTGAAACTCCCTATCCTCCAATCTCTCTGGTGTCTGTGGCAGACAGGCAAGGAAAGAAACATAGGAAGGGTGAGGGCTCTTTACCTTGATGGTGGGGATGAAGGCAGTAGAGAGGTAGGAGCAGAGGCGGGGGGGTAGGTTCAGCTTGCTGACATCCTTGTCTTCTCTCAGGTTACTAGCAATGGCCTGCTGGCACAACAGCTGCAGGCTGGACACTCTGTGCTCCACACGCACCACATACAGGGCTGGTCCTGATGCCATCAGCAGCCGTGAGTCACGGTGGCCCCAGCATATGGAAATGATAGGGCGCTGCAGGGATGCAAAATAAAGATAGTGCTTAAGCTTTGCTCTTGTTTACAAAGATAAAGAATGCATATTTGTCTCGGCAAATTCCATACATGTATACATGTATCCTAACAAACTCATCCCATCTATCATTCTCCCTTACCCCACATCCTTTCTTTTTTTGTCGGTCTTGGGGCTTGAACTCTGGGCCTGGGCGCTGTCCCTCAGCTCTTTAGCTCAAGGCTAGCACTCTACCACTTGAGCCACTGTGCCACTTCCGGCTTTTTTCCTTTTGCTTATGTGGTGCTGAGGAATCAAACCCAGGGCCTCAGGCATGCAAGGCAAGCGTTCTACCACTGAGCCACATTCCCAGCCCCTCACTTCTGGATTTTTGATGGTTAATTGGAGGTATGAGTCTCATGGACTTTCCTGCCTGGGCAAGCTTTGAACCATAATCCTCATATCTGAGCCTCTTGAGTAGCTAGGATTATAGGTATGAGCCATCACAGCCTGGCTACAACCCAGGTATTAACTCACTATTGTTCTCAGCCATGATTGGAGCTAGGGGAAGCAAAAGCTATGTGAGGTTGGGGGAGTAGGGCTTCTGTGGTGACCTCACCAGAGAGTTGGTTGTCATCATGTTCTGTGAAAAGGCAGGTGGAAATCCAAATATGCATGTTGAGATCTTCTTACACTGGGGATCCCCCCACTCCAAACCCCTCAAAACTCAAGAGTGCCATCTAAGCAAAGTCATCCAAGCAAGGAAGAAAAAAGTAGAGGGCAGTAATGGAGAAGCAGTGAGGGATTTGTTCATCCTAACCCAAACAGATGGAGGACAAATACAATAAGGTCTTGGGAGTGGGGAATACTGTTTTCAGAGAGCAGAAGTGGCCATGCCAGCTCTTTAATATGAATGACAGGAACAGAACTGTCACAACACTTTAATGACAGGCATCAAGATAAAAGGAACACATGAAGACACTTTCTTAAATTAGCTTCTAGGGTCAGTTAATCCTGGTTTCAACTTCAAAGCAAAATGCAAGGCTGCATTTCTCCCTGCCAGGCAAGGCAACAACAGGGTGATGACCATAGCTTCCCCACAGTGGAAGATCATGATTTTATTAACAGTGGAGCCTGGAACTTAAGTCAGGAGCTGCTGGATCATTTCCATGCATATCTCATGCTCTACACGAGATGATCTCCCTCTAAAGGTAGACCTTAAAGAAGAAACCTACTAATTTACAGCAAGGCAGAATCACTGCTGAAGACCAACATATAGAAAAATACATTTTTTTCTGGTATAATCAAGCTCTGTAATCACAGATGAAAACAGAGGTTCTATTAGCACCCAAATCATGCTTCATCTTTGTTTTTTGGCTGGTACTTTGGCTCAAACATTGGCCTCATGCATGGTAGTATGTATACCACCTCATTCAACTACAATAGCCATCCTCATGGTTTATTCCTCCTCCTCATTCTGCTTTTCATAAACTGTCTCTTTGAAACAGTAGATTACATGTTTTATAAAATTATGATAAGGATGTATCTATTATCTTTGTACTAAGAACTTATACCACTAATACAGACTTTGAAACTGAAGAAAAAACCTCACTCACTGTTCATAATAACAGAAAAATCACATCTTCAAAACTCACTATATTTCCAGTGCCACATTAAGTGCTCATATACATGACCTCATACAGTCTTGTGTATCACACAGATTATTGCATCTTAACATCTGAGAAACACTGGCTCAGAGGCTAGTTCTTAGTTACAGGTAGTATCATCAGTAGGTGAACAGGAAACAGCAGTAGGAGCACATGTCTGAATGGCAAGGAAAAATGGCTATACACTAAACTGTGCATGAGATAATTACAAAAGAGAATTATCAACCAAATTGGAGTGAAAAGACATGAAAGAATATTGAAAACCAGAACCCAAGGGGAAAAGCTGAAATTATTTAGCTTGTGGTATCTATAGTCTCAAAGAAATTATTATTATCTGGAGCAAGATTAAAAAATTCCTTCTAAGAAAGAGGACAAAAATATGAACAAATATCTACACATTAATTTGGGTACAGCAATATTTACTTGTCCAAGCCAGTGGCAGTGGGAGGGGAATATATTAATTTGAATTAGTTACATAATATATACTCTATACAATATGAAAAAGTAGTAAAATATATGCTATAGTTTCACCATAAAATTTTAGTGCTGTATTAGAAAAAAATTAGGAGGAATTTTACAGATGATAAAAGTTGTCACACTTCTCTGAAGATTTTGAGGTGCCATTGATGTGGGGAAAATTAGTTATTATGATGACCATTTAGTAAGTCATGATTTTTCAGGATTCGCTAAATCTTGTAAGTCCACAGAAAGTATCTGTACATGTCACTTTTTTGACAATAAGATTTCCTGTGCTGCTCTTTTGTACTTAACCCAAAGTCCATAGCTACAAATATCCTAGAGTTTTGGAAGGAACCAGAATGTATATGCCATGGCATTGTGAGAGGAATTCAGTAAAAGTAAGTCTTGACTTGGCAGACCCACAGACATGGATTTCCATCACTCTGTGCTCAGCCACGCTAGCAGAACATGAGTCCTTCTGTCTGCTCACAATACAGAATATCCTTCCTGCAGAGCTATTTCTACCTATTGGGGGATGAATTGCTGAAGTTCATGTTCAAAGCCAGTAAGCCTTGGCACATGCATTGATTATCACCAATTGTTAACTGAAAAGCTGCTATCTGCTAAGGAAAACTCAGGTTTAAGATTGTGGACTTAATCTCTTTTTCAAATCACACAAAATTACTACTTTTAGAAGCAAGAGCTAGAATTGCAAAGTTGAAACTATTCAAACTTAATTTACATAGAGAGGTGTACATATTTTGCACATATAAATCTGATATAAAAGGGCAAGAAAATGAGCAGCACTTCAGGGAGTATAGCGGAAACCTGGTACTTCTGTGATTAGTCTTTTCATCAGAGAGCAATTACTCAGGATGGAGAAGAATCTGTTCATAACGGCAGTTTGAGGGTGTGTGGTTAATGGAGTCAAGTCGTTCCTCTCAGTAGCTTTCTCTCTGCTTGGTCCACGTTGAGCCCTGGAAGGAGTAGTTCGCTCTTCCTCATGTCCCCAGGACAGTCCATGATCAGCGAGAGGTGGCTTTCCTTACTATAGTGCCTCATTTCCTGCTAGTGCAATGTACAGGGCCTGTGACAATCCACCCATTTATTCATCTATTGTACTGTTGATTAGTCAATTTATATATTTATGCAATGTATAAAATAAGCCATTCTAAGTATCAGGGGATTGATGTTTAATAAGAAATGGCTGCTCCCATGCCGTTTACCTTCTGAGATAGGAGGGAAATAAGTATCTTAATGTCTTTGACAATGACTACCTGATTATACAAGATAGCAAAATACTATGAAATGAAGAAGGGTAGGTTAAAAGTCCCCTGCAAATAGGGGACTAAGGCAGCTACTTCAAGGAGATAGTTTGGACACAAGCCTAGCAAATGTTCTGTGACTCTTGAGTGAAGCATCCATTGCATTTTGCCTGGGCTCACCTTGACCACAGTCCTATTTATTTCTTGTGTAGCTGGGTTGATAAGCACAGCTTACCATACTCATCCATTTTATTGGTAGAAATGTGATCCTGTGAAATTTTTGCCTGGCTGGCCCCCAGATATGATCCTCCCAAGTAGTATTATAAGCATGAGCCATCAACACCTACTTATAGTTCCTATATAGCTGGGATGACAGGCACACATCTCTCTGAGATGGCTGAGAAGGGAAATCATACAAATAGTTTGCCTGGTCTGGCCTTGAACCATGATCCTCCTGATTTCAGCCTCCTGAGTAGCTAAACTAGGACTACAAACTATGCATAAATGTATACTATACATTGTACACTGTATATTGAACAGAGCTGTACAGAATGGACAGCTTTGGGTATGAAATTATAATGACTGGGCCAACAATTAAGTAAACTAGTTCAGGATTCATCCAGCTAAGCCTCAGGTTAAATCCAGGAAGTCCAAGCATTGTGCTACTTGATCCATGTTCTAGCCTCAAATCTCAAGAATTCGTTTTTTTTTGGGCGGGGAGGGTCCGGTCGTGGGGCCTGAACTCTGGGCCTGGGCGCTGTCCCTTAGCTCTTCAGCTCAAGGCTAGTGCTCTACCACTTGAGCCACGGCGCCACTTCTGGCATTTTCTTAATCTTTATGTGGTGCTGAGGAATCGAACCCAGGGCCTCAGGCATGCAAGGCAAGCGCTCTACCACTGAGCCACCTTCCCAGCCCCTCAAGAATTCTTTTTTTTTTCTCCTTTTTTCAGTACTGGGGTTTGAACTCAAGATTTCATGTTTGCTAGCAGGTGTTCTACTACTCTAGGCACATCCCAGCCAGAAATCTCAGGTTTGGGTTTTTTTTTTTTTTCTTGTTTGGTTGGTTTTGAGTTTTCTGCTTGCTTATGCTTTGGCAACACAACAGTGTGCTCTCAGGACCTCAGGCTTACCAGGTAGTTATTGGAGCACTTGACCCACAGTACTCCATAAACAAGTAACAATCACAAAGGGCTTCCTAACCTATTTACAACATAGAAAATGCACAACCGGGCTGGGAAGGTGGCTCAGTGGTAGAGCACTTGCCTTGCATGCCAGAGGCCCTGGGTCAATTCCTCAGCACCACATAAGCAAAAAAGAAAAAAGCCGGAAGTGGCGCTGTGGCTCAAGGGGTAGAGCGCTAGCCTTGAGCTGAAGAGCTGAGGGACAGCGCCCAGGCCCAGAGTTCAAGCCCCATGACCGGACAAAAAAAAAAAAAAAGAAAATGCACAACCATGGCAGCTCCCAGGGGCAGGCAAAGTGACTCTTCTATAAAAAGGTTATTATAATTGTTTGCTATGGGATTCTTCTTCAGGAGTATAAAAGCCTATAATCATAAATATAATCTCTAATTTAATTTTCCTGTTTTCTATCTCTATTTTCTTCCTTCTCTTTCTACCAAATCTCTTATACAAGCAACTAAACTTTATAGAATACAGAGTAATCCCCAACTTGC